GCCAGGAAATGCACACGTTTTTGTTATGCCTTCTTTTTTTCAGTGAAATATTTCTTGTGTAACTTAGCACATTCAATGTGGCACTGGACAACTGGAGGGAAAATTACTTCCATCCACGCGTGGACTATAGGCCAGTAATGACAAACCCCAACGCATTCAAAGTAGCAAGAGAAGCTTCATAGTTTATTTATGGTTTAACATTAAGAAAATCATGTTCCTAGTAATGTCTTCTGCCTTACCCAGCTGCTACCTGGCAATATGGACACAAAATAAAGGAATTTTACATAGATGAATGTCCCTCAATCAGATGAGTTAGAAAACAGGAACATCAACACAGTGAAAGCTGTACCAGCCAGATGGCTCCTCTACATGCACCCTCCAGCCCAGAGCAGGGCCCTCCACACCAACAGTCCAGTTCTACCCCTGAATTAGTGCAGAACATCCCTGCACCAGGCAGCCAAGGCTACTGACAACCTGAATCCATGGCAAGAAAAAAACATCAAAAGAAGAAAGAAAAAAAAAAGAGGGGGCAAGCTGCTCACAGGGTGGAGGCCAAACGATGCTGTTTGGCCTGTTTATTGACAGTTTTGCAGTCCTGACACGGATGGAACTGCCAAACTTTGCTCTCCCACAGCTGAGGCACTCAGAGAAGAAAAACGTTCACTGCGTTAAGCACAGGGTGCTCTGTTGAAGACTCTCTTCTGGGAGCATAAAATTCTACATCATAAAAACCAAGTTATGTGGATTTTTCTCAAAAGGTTAAGTCTCTGCTTCTTCCTCATCTTCCAGAGCATCTACGTGTTTATATTGCTTCCAGGCCTTTAAATTACATTTTTTGAGAATGGCTCCTAGTTGGTTTCCAGGCCCCACCTCGTACGTGTAAGGGAATTCCACTCCTTGCTTTCTCTCATACACTGAGTGCATGGTCTGTTCCCACAAAACAGGTGAAACCACCTGTTTCACTAACAGCTTCCGAATGTGCTTCGAGTGCATATACTTTTTGCCATCAACATTGGAATACACACAGAGCAGTGGTTTCTGGATCTCAATGGATTTTAGGACTTCAGCCAGTGGCTCCACTGCTGGTTCCATTAGTCTGGTGTGAAAGGCCCCACTGACTGGAAGCATTTTTGTACGTGTAAAATAGTATTTCCGGGCATTCTCCTGCAGAAACTCCAAGGCCTATAAAAGAGAGAGAGAAGTGAGACTCTTGCACAACAAAGGTGTGCTCAGTCACCCCCACAAGAACCACCTCATCAGACTTCCACACCGAAGTGCAAAACAAAGGCTGTACATAACTTCCACACCGAAGTGCAAAACAAAGGCTGTACATAACTTCCACACCGAAGTGCAAAACAAAGGCTGTACATAACTTCCACACCGAAGTGCAAAACAAAGGCTGTACATAACTTCCACACCGAAGTGCAAAACAAAGGCTGTACATAACTTCCACACCGAAGTGCAAAACAAAGGCTGTACATAACTTCCACACCGAAGTGCAAAGTAAAAGCTTTTCAAAAGTGAAACCCTAAGTTTAACTCAAGTTATTCTGCAGCAATACCTGTAAGTGTCCTGCAATGACTCTGCTGTCTGGAAACAAGTAGTTTGACACCGTGCACACAGGGTTCTCTATGCCCAGCGATTCGCAGTGTTTACGAGCTTCCAAGCACGCGAATTTGTAATTTGCCTCTCGCCGCCCGATGACCGACAGCATTCCGCTGGGCACAGCTTCCGAGGCCTTTTGCATCGCTTCGGCTCTCACCTTCACCGCGTACAGCGCTGCGGAGAGAGGGGCGCTGGGTGTGAGTGAGAGCACAGCCAAAGGCACCAGCGCGAGCAAGGGTGGCTGTTCCCTCCCGGGGAACGCCAGGGCGTCTAACGCTGCACTGCACACACTAAAGTGCACGGTGTTAGTAGAAAGTAAAACTTATCCTCTAATAAAAAACCGGAAGAGAATGAAGCGGGAGGGAAGCGGTGGTAAGAGGCGATGCTCTGGGAGCAGCGCGGGCCCGGGGAAGGATCCCAGCAGGGTGTTCCAAGCACCTTCGGCAAAGCTCAGGGCTCCAGCGAAGACGAGCGCCGCGAATTCCCCCACGCTGTACCCTGCGGCCGCCACGCAGCTCTCCACCACCTGCGGGGACACACAGAGCCG